CTCTCTCTCTCTCTCTCTCTCTCTCTCTCTCTCTCTCTCTCTCTCTCTCTCTCTCTCTCTCTCTCTCTCTTTTCCCCGGCCCCCTTGTATACCGACACACCCCAAAAAAAATAAAATAAAATAATAATAATAATAAAAAATTGGGTGCATAATCCGCACATCACTAATTTGCGCACGCGCACCGCACGGCGCATCGCAGAAGTGCGCCGCAAGTATGTTCTGTGTTCATCATTGCAGCCTGAAAATTCGAAATTTTTTATTGGTAATTTCAAATGTGAGGGAGATTGGGAGACCTACTGAACTTGCAAACTCGAGATTTTATTATTATTATTATTAATTTCTCGGATTTTTTTTCAAAAGTTCAAACTTTTCTTTTTTGATTAGTGGCCCCTTATCTGGGTGATTTATCCCACCCACCCCTCCTGACCTATGTGCTGCCCCTCTGGTCTACTCTTCTTCTTCATCTGATTCCGGGTACCCCTACTGCGGCATTGGTAAGTTGCCACGTCAGCAGTGACACGTCAGCAGCGACATGTCAGCAGACCACATCAGCAGACCACGTCGGCAGGCCACGTCAGCAGTGACACATCAGCAGCAGGCCACGTCAGCAGTGACACATCAGCAGCAGACCACATCAGCGGGCCACAACAGCAGCCGAGCAGTGCCACGTCAGCAGCAGGGGGTGCCGCGTCAGCAGTCCCCCAGCCTGGTCTATGCTCACGCGCTCACAAACAGTCGGCATGGACCAGAAGTCCGGAGAAACGGCTGCAGCCTATCAGGCCCGGATGCTGGCTTTGATTACCGAAGCCAAGCACCAGGCGGATGCAGCAGCAGCCGCAGAGAAGAAGAAGACGGAGGACGCCGAAAAGGCACGTCTGTTGGCGATCGAACAGCAGCGCCAGCACGACGAGGCAGCAGCAAAGGCTGCCGATAAGGAACGGAATCAGCGACGCAAGAAGGTGTTCAGCGAGGAGCGACCCTTGCTCACTGTGGCAGCGGCATGGTGGACCGAGGCCGAAGGGAGCGAATTCAGCGACAGCGGACCACGCATCTCGCTGTTGCTCTCCCACCTCACGGATCTCCAGGCAACGCGCATTGCACAGCAGGAGGACATCCATAGCCTCGGCGACACGGTAAGGAACCAGCAACGGACGTTAGATCAAGTCAACGGCCGCCTTCAGCAGCTGGAGCAACGACCGGTCGCCGCCCCCGTGGCCAGCACCTCCAACACCTCCGACCGACTCAACGCATTAAAAGTCGACGTCAGCGTACTCAAGGACGGCATGCAGCTACAACAAACCGTGACTCAACAACTTGAGCAGCGGATCTGCACTGCCGCCACTCACCCGGGCACGTCACAACGCGAATCGACTCCGAAGTTCGACAGTCAGGAGATCTTTTGCGACGCAACAAAGACGAACCCGATTCCTTGGTTCCGCCAGTTCGAGCTCAAGTTGCAGCTCCACCACGTCCCGGAAACAAAGCACCTCGCGTACTTGTACTCCCGATCGGGGGGGGGCGTGCCAAGCATGGTTGGACAACCTCTTGTCGAAATACGGCGTGGTGGCGACCGACTTGCATACCAAGATCAACTGGGCGGATCTGAAGGCAGCATGGCATAAGCGGTTCCAGATCGAGCCGTCGGAAATGAAAGCCATGGACAAGCTTATCAAGTTCCACCAAAACACGCTGCCAAGCGGAGATTGGATTGCCGAGTGCCAACGCTTGACATTCGTACCAGGCATACCAATGGGCTTTCAAGCTATGAAACACTACTTCATCTCGAGGTCGTGTCCGGCATTGTCCACGGTGCAGACTCAAGTCCCAGACACGCTTACTACAACTGCGGAGCTCTTCGACAAGGCCGTGCAAATCATCGTCACGAACACGGAGGCCAAGAACCTCTCACCTGCGACAGGCCCGAGCAGAGAACAGCATCGGCCGAAAGTGGCCGTGGTCGCGGTGGCAACGTTGACCGACCCCTCAAGCGAGCCCGTGTCTGCCTATGAAGGGGACAGACTCGCAACCGCCCGGGATGGTGGACATCCTGGCAGAGGCCGACGACGCGGCAAATCGAAGACAAACACCACATTCCCCGGGCCCGACGCAGCAGCTCAAGATCCCTGGACCTACTATGGTCTTTCGAAGAGCGTATACAAGTTACGCACAAAATTCCGCTATTGTTTGTGGCGCAACAGCGGTCTCCACGCAATAGTGGGCTGCCCTTTGATGCCTCACAGCAAGGGCAAGTCGGGAAACTGAGCACCGCCGAGGGTGAGTCGACGACACTCCCGACGCCGTTGCTTCGTGGGCGACCGCCCTTCGTTCCGAGGCACATGCGGAAGTCGATAGTCCTCCTCTTCTATATTCTTACGAGGACTATGCTGCCCGGCTCGTTCCTACACTAGGTACACATGCTCAAGGACAAGACGTGTGTGCGGCATCTTCTCCGTCCGGAAGCAGCGACGTATCGTCTTCTAGTGGTTCTTCACGGGATTCGGCGCACGAGTTCAACATAGAGGTATTGGACCCGCTCACGTCCGAGGATTTCGCATGGCTTCCTCTCCCGACCACATGCGGAAGTCGATAGTCCTCCTCTTCTATATTCTTATGAGGACTATGCTGCCCCGCTCGTTCCTACACTGGTTACACATGCTCAAGGACAAGACGTGTGTGCGGCATCTTCTCCGTCCGGAAGCGGCGACGTATCGTCTTCTAGTGGTTCTTCACAGGATTCGGCGTACGAGCTCAACATAGAGGTATTGGACCCGCTCACATCCGAGGATTTCGCATGGCTTCCTCTCCCGACCACGGGCCGCTTGCCGGGACCGCAATGTGCAACACTATGCTCTCATCTCCGCACGTACTTATTCTTCTATGCACCACCAACTTCACCGACGTATGACGAAGCTGTGGTGCGGGAGATCCTTGCGTATGTTACCAAGGTGGCCCACGAGTTTCGCAAGCAGCGGTACGATGACAACAACACACCGCTCCTCTATGTCCGCATCCAAGTTGGGCAAGCGTCCTGCAGCGCTTTGCTGGATAGCGGCGAGTCTTGCAATATCATGAGCCAAGCCTTTATTCAAAGGGCTGGCCTCGCCGCACAAGTTCGAAGGAAGGCCAACCCCACGACGATAAAGTTGGCGGACGGAAAGACGCAGCAACTTCTTGACCGTTATATCGAGGCCGTCCAGGTCTATTTCGCACCTCATGCATGCGAACCGGTGATATTCGACATTTTGGACACGGACTTCGATATTATTTTGGGCATGCCTTGGCTTGCAAGTGCGGATCACACGGTCAACTTCCACCGGTGGACTCTCACCGTCCGGGACGCCTTCGGTGCCGAAGTACCGTGTACTATTCCTCTTCCGCACCCTTCGATTCGGTGCCAAACAGTGACGGCCAAGTCGTTCCGGGCTACTTGCGCTTACGAGCAGCCCGACGAGATAGGCCTATGCTTCCTACGGACCGTCGAGGTAGCCAACTCTTCCCCCACGGAATTGTCTTCGGACCCCCGTGTGGTGCAGTTGCTTGTTGAGTTCGCCGACATCTTCGAGTCACCTACCGGTGTGGTGCCGGATCGGCCGATCTCTCACGAGATCATTCTTGAGGCCGGTGTCGTGCCGCTGAAAGGTTGCATTTATCGCATGAGCAAGGAGGAGCTTACGGTCCTCCGCGCACAACTCGATGACTTGTTGGACAAGGGTTGGGTCCGCCCTAGTAGCTCCCCATATGCAGCGCCGGTTCTCTTCGTACGGAAGAAGAACAAGGAACTACGATTGTGCATCGACTACCACAAGCTCAATGTGCAAACCATGAAGAATGCGGGGCCTCTTCCTCGTACTGACGATCTTCTTGAGCGATTGGGCGACGCGAAGTACTTCTCTAAGTTGGATTTGAAGTCGGGATATCATCAGCTTTCGATCCGGCCGAACGATCGCTATAAATCCACGTTCAAGACGCGGTATGGGCACTTTGAGTGCGTGGTCATGCCTTTTGGCCTCACCAATGCCCCGACGACCTTTCAAGCGCCAAGGACCAACGAGTTTCGTGCGATGTTGGACCGGTTCGTGCTGGTCTACTTAGACGACATTCTCGTCTATAGATGGACATTGGAGGAATATCTCGAGCACCTTCGACGGGTGTTAGAGATGTTCCGCCTCGCCAAGTACAAAGCCAACCGCGACAAGTGCGAATTTGTCCGGCAAGAGCTGGAATACTTGGGCCATTTTGTCACACCGGAGGGCATCAGTCCGTTGTCAGACAAGATTCAAGCCATCCAAGAGTGGGCGGAACCGCGGAACATCATGGATATCCTTTTGTTCCTTGGCCTTGCCAGCTACTACCAACATTTTATCAAGGGATACTCGAAGATTGAGGCTCACTTGACCAAGCTTCAATGCGAGGATCGGCCGTTTGACTTCGGTGAGGATGCGCGGGAATTATTTTTGCCCCTCGCTATTAACTACGGAGGTCTTGCGCATATATGACCCGCTATTGCCAAGGCGCGTCACTACGGATGCGTCCGGCTATGGCATTGGTGCCGTCCTCGAACAACACGACGGCGTGGACTGGCACCCGGTCGAGTACTTCAGCAAGAAAGTGCCTATCGTGCACTATATTGATGATGCATGCAAGAAGGAACTCCTAGCCTTCGTCCACGCGCTCAAGCAATGGCGGCACTTCCTCCTTGGTCGAAGTTAATTCCGATGGGTAACAGACAACAACCCTTTGGTCTTCTACAAGACCCAAGACACCGTTAATATCACGATCGCCTGTTGGATGGCCTTCATCGACGAATTTGACTTCTTTTCCGATCACATTCCGGGGAAGTCAAACCGTTTTGCGGATGCTCTTTCACGGCGTCCGGATCATTGTACCGCAGTCTACTCGACCTTCGAGATCGACGATGACCTGCGGAACAGCTTCATCTGCGGCTACCAAGCCGGTCCCGAGTTTCGCGACAAGTCTTCCAATTGCTCCTCTCCTAATCCGACGCCTTCTCACTACTGGATCCAAGAGGGGGACTTGGTTGTCCACACGCAGGGAAAGGACCTTCTTTACATACTGAGTAACTCTCACTTGCGTACACAGCTTCTTGGCGAGTTCCACGATGCTCCCGCCACCGGACACTTTGGAGTCAATCGAACGATTGGCCGACTTCGCGAGCGCTATTGGTGGCCTGACTTTCTCGGCGACGTCACACGCTATTGCAAGTCATGCGAGGTTTGTCGATGTTGCAAATACCACAATCATCGCCCGTATGACGAGTTGCGACCATTACCGGTCCCCTCGCGCCGACGGGAAGCGATCGCCATGGACATTACTTGGTCATTCCCCAAGCACAAGACCGGTGTGGATAGGATTCTCACGGTGGTCGACCGAAGTTCGCCATGTTTTTGCGTTGCCGCTATCATGCCAAGGCACCGGAGTTGGCCGAGGTTCTTTATGCGGTCCGATTCGAACCAAGGGTTACCCCAAGGACATCGTCTGCGACCTCGACATTCGGTTCATGTCCGGTTTTTGGTTGGCGCTCATCAAACGATGGGGTTCATCTCAAGCCAAGTTCGGCTCACCACCCCCAAACCGATGGCCAAACGGAGAGGGCGCATCAGACCGCACATGTTCTCCTTCGCACTCTCATCCGTCCCGACCAAAAGGATTGGGTTGAGCGGCTGCCGGATGTCGAGTTGGCATACAACTCGTCCATCCACCCGACTATCGGGATGTCGCCCTTCGAGTTCGAGCACGGCTCGCCGGTCACTTCTCCGTTGGACACAATCATTCCACGAGGGGCCGAGAACGACGACCATCTTCTCTTCTTGCGTCGGATGGAAGAGCTACTTCTCAAGGCTCGCGACCAGATGGCTAAGACGCAGCAGCACATGAGCCAACAGGCCAATCGCCAGCGTCTTCCTTGTCCATTCCGCGTCGGCGATCTCGTTTGGGTTTCGGCCGCGGAGTTCAGCCTCGAACAAGATATCTCTTGCAAGCTCCTTCCGAAATGGATGGGGCCCTGGCCGATCGTGGCACCCGCTGGGGATGCACCCGAAGGACCTTCCTTTATCATTCAGGTGCCCGCCCACTTGCCCGTCTACCCGGTCTTTCATTGCTCCAAGTTGGCTCTTTACACGCCAGCGGAACATGGCGAGTTTCCCGGGCAACGATCGCAAGACCCACCCGCTATGGACGGTTTTCAAGAGGTCGGCGACATCATCTCCCAGCGACGCTACGGCAACAGGCCGACCGAATACTTGGTACACTTTGCGTACTGCACCCACAAAGCTGACCGTTCGTTGACCCGTGCGAAACTCCAAGCAACATCTCCGGATGTTCTCGCACACTACGAACGCAAGATGCAAGGCATGCCGGTATCTTCGGCTCCACATCGCACCCGCGTCCAGGTTCCACCTTCAGATCGTCAGCTTCGCGCTCGACCCGGCTTGACTTCATGAGGGGGGGGTGTTACATGCTGTGCCAGCACACGGGCCCATTTCAAGGGGCCTGACGGTTGCTGAGGGCCCCCAGGCCGCATGCCACCGAAAGGAGGCAGTATTTATTTATTTACTTACCGTTGCCTTGTCCCTTGTCTGTGCAGACGACGTTTCGGACTTGCAGACCCCAAAGCAACACCTTGGGCCAGGTACAGAGGCACGCGGC